TTGATGGCCCGAATCCTATTATTGCATCCCTCGTTATGATTACGACATCTGACTATGAGCCTTTTTCGTGTTGGAATGAGTTGTGTGCCATTCAAAATGCCGAGTCATTGCTTCAGTATCAATGGCGTGCCACACCTCCTTCTTCGAGCCAAATTATTGGCCTTTAATAAACCCAGTGAGTGGACCTCATATTGGAACCTCCGGGGGTTCCATGTCGCTGTCGACCATCCAATTGTCGTCTGGAATGTGATTGTAGTAGGGGACTGGTAAACGGTCATGAGCCACCTCATCATCATTATCTGAGTCTGACTCTGGTCCTGAATCATCAACACCTTCAAGAGGGTCGGAACTGTCTGCACTGACGTTGTTCTCTCCTTCTTCATCGGAGGGGTCACTGACTGGTGCTGGAAGGGAATCTTCCATATGATCCATCTCATGAAAGGCACCTTCATATGCTCCATAATGGTAGTTGTGAAAACTACCGCTGCCTGATTGGAAGTTGTACTAGGGTTGGTTGCCATGGTCCGGTTGAACTTCTTCTTCATATGACGGGAAAGATTGATGATGACTAGTGATGGCAATGGGGCGGGTACCTCAATTCCCATGCCCCGCCGCACGCTACTATGGGTCGGGGCGGGTAAAACCCGCACGGGTACGGGGTGGGGCGGGTCGACCCACTCTTACATGTTGTTAAAAAAAATACAAGTAAATTTTACTTTTTACAATAAAAAGTAGGGGAAAACACTTTAAGAATGAAAAATATTGATAATAGAATGGATAATTGAACCTAACAAGTTGAAAGATCGACTCTAACTAGTTGAAGAAAAGTCAAATTAAGAGAAATATGTATAGATATGGTAAGAAATTGAGATAAAATGAGTCTAGAACGGGGCCGGGCAGGGCGGGTCGAAAGTAGATGCCCATGCCCCGCCCCACGCTACTGCGGGTCGGGTAATACCCACCCCATCACGGGCCAGGTCGGGTAATACCCGCGGGGCGGGTTGAAATTGTCATCACTAATGATGACCTTCACTTTGCTCTTGGTACTGAAAATAGGAATGAGGATCATGGTAACTTTGGTAGGGATGATCTCCATATAATTCACCTCCACCATGGATACTAGATGTTTGATCGTCTCCAGAATGACCTCCAACGGCTACGACCGGCTCGGTGTAAACGAACATCTCGGCTTTGGAAAGATTGTTGGACCTCAAGAATTCGAGCATGACATCTACTTCATCCTAAGTGGTTATGAGATATTCCTCGTGCCACAACGACCCTCCTTCTTTGTTTGGATATCGGTACACCATATGATCAACTCTTCTCGTGCCATCCATGCAAGTAATGTTAGTACATATTTGATAGAGGTCTTCAAGCATCGGTCTGGTAGTGACCTTTATTTTCTGAAAATTGCCACCGACGTAGGTGACCGCCTTTCCGCTCTCTTGCATGTAACCAATCCACCGTAACCCAAGCATGAACTTTTGGAATGCCATCTGCAAAAAAACAGTAGTTCAACTAATATCATAAAAATTACAAATCACAATTGACAAGTAATAAAAAATATACTTACGAGTTAACGTTAACCGCAAAAACTCTAGAGAAGTAAGGGAGCTACAATAGAAATTTGAAAAGGGAGAAGGAGAGGTGAGAACAGAAGAGAAGAGGTTTCCCGGGCTGTCTTTTATAGGCAAAATCGTCAATGAAGACCGCACCTTAGAGGTGCGGTTTTTAACTGCCATGCAGCCCCACGTCTGTCAATCTGCATGGTTATATGTTTTGTGTCGAGAAATAATTGACACACAAACCGCATTGGGGGGGGGGGGTGCGGTTTGTGTTGCCAAAACTGCTCTTTGAGGGTGCGATTTGTTTTGGAGAAGTAAAACTGCACCCCCAAAGTGCGGTTTTGCTAGGTCAGCATAAGACCGCATCTAGGCCATGCGGTTTGGTTAGGTCAGACACACAAACCGCATGGCCAAGATGCGGTTTTGGCCCACAATGCTAAACCGCACATTGGGGGTGCGGTTTACAATCAAACTGCACATGGGGGGTGCGGTTCACAATCAAACCGCACCTCTAAGGTGCGGTTTTTATAAAAGGGTGTTATTTTGTAATTTCTATGGACTGGGTGCTATTTTTGTAATTTTTTTAAAGGTGCTATTTCTGGAAAAATCTCAAATTATTTCATGTAAGTCAAAGTTGAAGAATCGATTAACCAATGACAAATTAGCAAGAAGGAAACATATTTTTATATAAGTCAAAGCTTGAAGAAATATTAAACTAAAACTTTCCGAGTATATGTTCTTTAAGTTTGCATTGTTAAATTGCATGCATTATGTAAACTATGATTCCGGGTCGAATATACAATTTGGATACTGATAATTAGTTGGTGAAGGAAATAAAGTTAAACCTCAACATCAAGCTCACCCACTACCATATCAAGAACTCCTTTAGTGAGTCATAGTTTTGAAAATGAGAAAGAATTAAACAACTGATCTTTACAAAAAGTTCTAAACTTGGACAAGATACATTTTACATGCGTAAAAATATGATATTTCTAAATAGGGTAAATTACATGTTTGGTCACTATGATTACTAAAAGGGTTACGTTTGGTCACTATAAATATTTAATTCTATTTGTGGTCACTAAGATTAGTTTAATAGTTCAAGTTTGGTCACTCTCCGTTAGTCTCCGTTAAATTTATCTGATGTGGCAGTCAACTCTGATAGTTGACCGTTAAATGAGTGACGTGGCAATTAAATTATATTTTTATTTATTTATTTACAATTCCACCTCATTTTCATAACTAATAAAAATAAAAATTAATCACCACATATTTCTCCCCTATACTCCCCTCCCATCGGATTCCTTGCCTTCCCCCCCATAATTCGATTCCCGCGTGACCCCTGCTCCCATAATCGGCGATTAACACATGGAGTTTGGAGTGTCGTGGAAACCCATCGGTGGAGGCAATTTTCGGCGGCCGGACATGACCCGTTGCCGCAGGTGATGAGTTTCCGAGAAGCGGAAAGGAGGACCTGCTGTAGGGCGACGACGTTGTCGATGACATCGTTGAACTTGCTGTAGGAGCAATTAGCGAGACAATGCATTTAATCTGGGTTTCGGATAGGGATTTGATGATGGGGTTTCGAGGAGATGGGAAGCGGGGTTCGGAGCCGCGACGGTTGAATAGGGAATCCGACAAGATGGGAACTGCGAGTTGAGAAAAGAGAAGGAAAACCGGTTTGATTGATTTTGGTGTGCGAGTACAGTGCCGATAAGGCTTTTATAAGCCTCGATTACAGTTTGCCAGCAGTCGCAATAGGAGATCCGGGTGATGGAAGTATTGTCGTACTCCATGTGCTTCCCCATTATGAAGCCCAGACGGTTGGCCAACAAGATGGGGTTTTTCATTTTTGTGAAGAATTCCTCCACCAAGGATTGGGAGGGCACCCAACACGATTAGAGGAAGTTTGGTGGGATGGGGATTTCATGAGTTTGATTTGGCCCAGGATTGGGAGGGCACCCAGCATGATTGGAGGAAGTTTCCGACCTCTGCGGCGGTAGTCGGAGGATCGGAGGTCAAGAAGAGAATGATTGATTTTGCATAGGTCGTGAAAATAAGGAATCCGACGGGAGGGGAGTACAAGGGAGAAAGGTGTAGAAATTGATTTTTAATTTTATTTTTTATTAGTTATGAAAATGAGGTGGAAATTATAAATATTTACAATATATTTTATTTTTTAATTGCCACGTCACTCATTTAACGGTCAACTATCAGAGTTGAGTGCCACATCAGATAAATTTAACGGAGATTAACGGAGAGTGACCAAACTTGAACTATTAAACTAATCTTAGTGACCACAAATGAAATTAAATATTTGTAATGACCAAATGTAACACTTTTTAGTAATCACAGTGACCAAACATCCAATTTACCCTTTCTAAATATCTTAGCGCTAAATTGTTGCTTTCTGCCAGTTGCTGACATCAACACATAATTGTCTCCGATTACACGCCCCAACTGTTTGCTTGAAACCTAAGGCAAATCCCTACTACGCTCTACGCACATGTGCTGGCGGGAGTAAGCAAGTCCACCTCAATTTCAAACCACAACTATAAATTTGAGTTCTCCTCTCATCATCATATAGTTACCAAATTCCCAATTTTCAATCTTCCTAAAAGCCCCACTGAAGCCAGGACCAAAAAAAAAAAAAACAAAACAAAAAGCTTACATTTTGTATTTTGATTGTTTTTTCCTCAGCTGGGTTTTCATTACAGAATCAGATGGTGGGGCTTTAAAAACAAGAAAGAGAAGCCCACATTATCTGCCAAAACTCGTCTTCGACATATTAAGTAGCAGCTTGTTTGCGTTCTTGCTTGTGTTAACTTTTGTATATGGGGAGGAGACATTTCCTGGCACTCTGCTGCAGATTTCTAAGCAAAGGGATAATAAAGCCTCCCCCGTTCCTTTCTGAAGCTCAGCTCCGGTCTTCAACATGTAAGGTACTTCAATCTGGCCATTCTCTTCCCTCTCTCCATCTTCGCAGCTGGGTCGGATTTCTCAATCTGCAATTTGGGCATCTCTCATTTTGATTCATTTGGGTCACTGGAATTCATGCATACACCAACCATTGTGTGGCCTTCTGGCTTCTTCTGGAACTGAAATGGTTGGGATTCCTGTTGATTCTTCCGTCTTCTCATTTCTGGGGTTTCCTTCTTTCTTACAGCTTCTCCGTACGGGGGTAAATAGCTACTGTTCCATTGAGAGAGGGTTGTTTATTTATTTCAGCCCGAGTTAGGTTTTCATTAGGTGACTAGTTATTTCGGTTTTGCCATCCACAATTTATTTTCGAAATGGGTTCTTTTACTGTTTGGTGGTGTAGGAAAAAGACTGTTCCTTTCTTCCTTTGATAGGTTTTGCTGTGCTTCTTCACGTTCTACTGAAGCTCGCTATTCCTTCTTTCTACTTCGTAGTTAACCTTTTCTGTTCCTTTATTGACTCTGCTATTTCCTGTTTCTGTCTTTCTGATATTGCCGTTGTTGGGATTGTGTTGTGTGGTTGTTGTTTGGATTTGAAGCCAAGCTAGTAGATTGTTAAGCCAAGCGATCTTTCTTTTCAAACACTTTAATGTATGAGCTTGCTGAGAAATTCTTCTTCTTCCATAGACTGGAGGGAGGCATTATCCCCCTTTTTTTTCATCTTCTTGGTATGAAGTTCCTAGGATTGTTCTTGTGATTCTGCTGCAAGCACAAGATAGTTTTAACAATTGCGCAATGTTTGAATTCGCAGGTAAAACGATTGGATGAGATAGTGGGTTGTAGGCTCCTGGATTTTACTCATGGAGAAGAGGAAATGGTTGTGGAAGAAAAAGCCCTCAGAAAGGGGTGGAGAGAGTGAGAGTTCGGGTTCAATATCATCTCATTCAGAGAGGTTTTCAGATGACCAGGTTGGTTTGAACTTTGTTCCACCTTATTCCTCGTGCCCAATTTTTTTATTATCCATTTCATTTGGTATTAGGTATAAACGTTTCATGGATTTCACATTGCTTTCAATTTTCTCAGTTTCTGACTGCCAAAGTTTCCCCTCATTCCTAGTAACTATGTACTTTCCAGTTCAAGTAGGATTGTTGCATAAACGTTTCATGGATTTCACACTGCTTCCAATTTTCTCAGTTTCTGACTGCTAAAGTTTCCCCTCATTCCTAGTAACCAATTAACCATGTACTTTCCAGTTCAAGTAGGATTGATGCAATAGGCTCTCTTTGCAAAATTGTGGAACTCTGAATGGTTTCCAGAGGAAATGATGTGATCGATTACAAGGTGATCGATACAACTCTTATTCTCAAAGCTTTGAATTGATGGTAGGAAATTATCCTCCAAGTAACGATCTTTTGATATAACTAATGGTATATTTTGGGGAAATTGTTTGTGGTTATGGTCCTCAAATGCTATGAGAGTTGTAACTTCAGTAGCATCTTACTCATGTCACAGGAATGCTCTCTTCTTTCATGCATTTGGCCAATACTTCATGTTCTTTTTTATGGCACCTAATAATATTCTTCTGGTTGAAGCAGGAAGCACTGAAGGCTTCTCCTAAGGATGACGGTCAATCTCCTGAAATCATCTCCAAAATTGCAGATGGGGGTGATGAAGAAGTTAATGAAAGCATAAAATGTTTAACAGAGAAGTTATCAGCAGCCCTTGTGAACGTGAGTCAGAAAGATGACTTGGTTAAACAACACTCCAAAGTTGGTGAAGAAGCTGTTGCAGGCTGGGAAAAGGCTGAGAAAGAATTACTGGTTGTCCAGAAACAGCTTGAAGCAGCAACACAAACAAAATCTCAGCTTGAAGATCGAGTAAGCCATCTCGACAGGGCCCTCAAGGAGTGCGTTAGGCAGCTAAGACAGGCACGTGATGAGCAGGAAGAAAAAATACGCGAGGCAGTGGCAAGCAAAGCAAAAGAATGGGAAACAATTAAGTCTGAGTTAGAGAATCAGCTTTTTCAGCTAAAGATAGATGTAGGGTCTGCTACTGCTTCAAAACCAGAGTCACCACCTCAAGTCAACCCTGATCTCTATCACAGGCTTGAATATTTAGAAAAAGAGAATGAAACACTAAGGCTTGAGCTTCTGTCTCAATCTGAAGAACTAGAGGTTAGAACAATCGAAAGGGAGTTGAGTACTCAAGCTGCTGAAATGGCCAGCAAACAACATTTGGAGAGCATAAAGAAAGTGGCCAAGCTTGAAGCTGAGTGCCGAAGACTGAAACCCTTAGTTTCTAGATCATCCTCCTCACTTAATGATCATCACAAAACATCAGCCACTTCCTCAGTTTATCTTGAGTCCCTCACGGATAGCCATTCGGATAGGGGGGACGGGCTCAATGGATTGATCTCTGAACTCGATCAGTTTAAGAATGAGAAGACTGTTGGTAACAGGAATCTGCTGCCGGTGGTAGCATCAGCTGTTAAAATCAATCTCATGGATGATTTCCTCGATATGGAAAGGCTAGCTGCGTTGCCTGAGAATGCAATGGAAATTAATAATCACGTTGAATCAGCTGTGAAACAGTCGACTGATCATGCAGAAAGCTTGTTGAGAGATGAGCTAAAGATTGCCGTTCGCCAGGCAGCTGAATTGGAAGCCAAGCTGAATGATCTGCAACAAGTGAAAGATGAACTAGAGCAAGGTTTGGTGAGCATGAGAGCAGAGAAAGCTAAATTGGAAGAAAGTCTGGAGAGAATCGTTCAAGAGAAAGCCCAAGTTGAAAGTAACTTGGAAGAAATAGAGTCAGAAAAAGCAGAGATGGAAACTGCTTTAACTACAAGTCTAGACAAGAATAAAGCATCAGCGAGCCGATTGCGGGAAGTCCAACTCAAGTTAGAGGAAGTCCAAAGCCAGTTGTCATTTGCAAAAGAATCGAAGCAAGAGGTCGAATCTCATCTTTGGAGCTTGGAAGCAGAATATCGTACCTTGTCAGCTCAGGTTTCCACCTTGGAATCCGAGCTTGAGAAGGAAAGGGCTATGTCTGCAGAGTTAAGTATCAAGTATCAGTACCTGGAAGAAGAGCTTTCCATGAAGAAAGAGGAGTTCGAGCACCAGCAGCAATCAATAAACATGAACAATGCACCAAAGATAAAACAGGTATAGAATAGGTTCCTTCTTATCATTAATCTCTCTTTTCTTCCAATCTCCATGCATGTCACTTTATATATCCGTTTGTGTGTGGGTGGTAGGAGGACCTAGCTTTAGCAGCGGGCAAGCTTGCAGATTGCCAAAAGACAATATTGTCTCTGGGGCAGCAACTCAAATCTCTAGCAACACTTGAAGACTTCCTGATAGATGCCAGCAACATCCCCGAAATCTCTGTGCATAGTAGCTCTGATAAGAACCGAAATGGGTTTGCCAAGTTTTTCTCCAGGAGCAAGAATGGAATTCAGCTGGAACTTTAGTGTGCAGGGAAAAAAAGAGGTGTACTGAGATTTGATTATATGATCGTGTTCAATCACAAGCAAAAGATAGCAAAAGCAAAGATGGGGTGAGAGAGGCTCGAACTCTCGACCTCAGGATTACTATTAAGCTATGAGACCTACGCGCTAACCAACTGCGCCACCACCCCTTTCATGATTGACAATATAGATTATTATAATCGTTCCTAGCCATGCCCAGCACCTACCCTCTTGTACCACTAAGAAATAAGAATATGTCTATGATACGTGTTCTCTAGCATTATCAATTTGTTTCACATCTCGTCCCTAATACTTTTTCTGTTGCTTAGTGGTCACTTGATTTAAACATGCGTTTCATTATTGGTTACTGACCGTCAAATTTCGTTGAATTCATTAAATTGACAATATGAGAATCTCTTGGCTCTTCTCCCCAACCCCAATACTCCTTTTTTTTTTTTTTTTTTTTTTACAAAAGGTAATCATGCATTGATTCAAAGGAATAGACAAATTATATCCGGGATCTCAGCCAGGTTTGAAAATCAAAGAACCGATTCATAGTCATGTACAAAGAGAGGGCCTTTCTAGCCACCACATGGGCTACCCTATTGCAACACCGACCTACAAATATAATACTAAACTCGGAGTAACTAACAATAAACTCATGATTTCTTCAAGGATTGCTCCCATCCGGTTATCTTTGGTATTAGCTCGAAGAATCTTCTCAATAATCACTTTAGCGTCCCCTTCAAATCTAATTATTGTGAAACCGTGGCCCATACACAATAAGATTGCCTCTCGGAGCACAAGCAACCCCACCACCATGGGGTCATCAATAACCGGCAATTGAATCCCAATAACCATAATGACATCCCGATCTGAGGTCAGAAGGACCATCCCACCGGCTGAATGCGAACCACTCCTCGTAGCCCCATCCCACATACAAATCACCCCATTCTCCCTCCAGGTTCTATCACATTCGTTTCCCCAGGGGCCAAGTGTTGCATTACAGGGATGGACGACTGAGGCACTCGATCCATCGGCAAACCTACCCACTCATCATACTGTTTGTGAAATTGACGCATCAAGGCTGGTATCCCAAACTGTTTGCCCTCAAAGACAACCCAGTTACGAGACCGCCAGATCCTCCAAAGAATGGCAGCCACCGCCATGACCAGAGAAGGTTGATGTATTAAAGCCAACAACCTCTTTATAAAGAGAGGGAACGTGTGACGAGGCAACCCTTGCCCCAGATACTCCAGGCCAGAATAGTCCCACAAGGCGCATGCCACCTGGCAATAGAGAAACAAGTGTTCCATTGTTTCTGATTCAGCCCAGCAAACGGGGCATCTGGGAAGCATCATGACATACTTCTCCATAAGAGCTACAGTATTTGGGAGGATTCGGTGAAAAATCTGCTAGACAAACACATTCAGTTTGGGAGGAATATTAGCCTCCCACAAGTGAATCCAACTGGTCCTATCCATCCAACTAGCCAAGGACCGTCATTGACCACTACGCTTATACAGTAAGACAACAAGATGCTAAGCCGATTTAACCGTGAAAATCCCATCAATCGTGTCGTCCCAAATTAGTTTATCCTCCACATTCTGTCGGGGAAGCGGGATAGCTTTATAGCACGAAAAGTATGTGGGTCAATCAATTGACTAAGCTTACGATCACACCAACGCCCTTCCACTTGATATATAACCTCTGCTACTGGGGGGTCCTCCCCCACTGGTAACACGAGAGGATTATACACCGGGAGATCGGGCTGCAACCCAGGGATCCATTTGGATTGAAGTAGCGAGGCAAGTTGTCCATTACCAATCTGCCAGCGTAGCCCCATGTCCAATAATTGTCTACCATAAAGGATGCTTTGCCAACCCCACGATGGGCGAGAGCGAGCCGTGGCATGGAGAAAGGTCCCCCTTGGAAAATATTTGCCTTTGTAAACTCGGGCCAATAATGAGTGGGGTTCAGTAAGGATGCACCAACCAATCTTGGCTAACAAAGCCTGATTAAAATGCTCAAAACGAAGAAATCCCATACCCCCTTCATGCTTGCTTCTGCACATTTGCGCAAGGAGACCCACCTAATCCTCTACTGGCCCTCTTCCACACCCCACCAGAACCGAGCCACATACTCCGACATAGAGATAAAGGGAGTTTGAAGCAGGACATTACATGCAAAGGCAAAGCTAAAGCAATGGATTTAACCAAAGTTTCCTTTGTTGCCCAAGATAATGTCCGTTGCTTCCACCCCTGCAGTCTCTCAAGCACATTCTCCTTCAAATATCGGAAGGTAGCCATTTTTGATCGGGCAATCAGCGTGGGCAATCAGCGTGGGCAATCCTAGGTACTTATCATGGACCCCCACCACACTGACTCCCAGGATTTGGGCCAAGAACTCCTGGTCCAGCAGAGCAATATCCTCCGCCTCGCATTGGTGACCTATAGCGATGACTAAGAATGGGAGTGATATTATGTAAGGTTTCGGTCTTTATTTGATGGTAGAACAACATGACAAATATTTTTTATCTATCACTATCCCTGATTGTCTAGTCATAGAAAGTGAGGAATTTGTATGGGGAACTGAGCATCTAGGTATCAATGTGAGACTTTGCTTGTTCATTTCGTTCATGTGAGATTAGTTTCCTCTTTGCATAAACTTTTCATGAGACTAATCGTGACACCACTAATTAGCAAGATGGAGGCATAGGTTTAGCCCGTGGTCAAGTTGACTACCCTAATCATAATACCCCTTAGTCAACACCCGATGAACTTTAATATGTTCTTTGCTACTACCACCATATTTAAAGCCAATCCCATTTTTTCAAGCCTACAATTGTTTGATCCCTTTTCAAGGTTCACATGGTTGGTTTTTACACGATTTTCTACTTCATGATGAAGTGACTTTGGGAGGAAATCATCGGAAAAAATGATTTTTTGATCTTTTGCTCTTCAGAAAATATAAAGAAATGAAAAATACAGAAAAGAAAAGGAATAAAGAGAGAAACCACAAAATTTATAAATGTGAAAATAAGTCATTTTCTGGCCCAATGGTTAAGCTACTCCTACTAGTTGAAAGTTTTCTCTTATACTCCCATGCTTAAAGTTTATCAAAGAAGAGATGAATTCAGTTTTATTTGGTTTGATCTATGTTCAGTGGAACCAATGAAAAGTAAATGTGAGTCACCAACTTAAAGAACTATTCCCCCATGCCCTAGACCCTAATCAAGTTACAACCCGATTAAAAGCTCTCTTGAAAAATTAGTGGTGACTCTATTATGGAGATTCAATGGCATCATAAAGTGTTAGAAGCTAGTTTCACGACAGAGAGATGATATGATTAAGATCTATAACAGGCACATCTTTTCCATAAATTGTGGTCCTGACCCCATTGGTCGAGTGTTGAGTGATTCATTTTCGTATTCTAAATGCGGGTAAGGATAGTTTGACATTACGATTGATTGATAGTGTTTGAGGAAAATTTTATAAATCTAATGAGGAGTGTTCACTGAAATGAACTTGGTGTGTTTGAATGTCCTCTATGGTGGCTACTAGTGTCACTATTATGTTGCTTCGTGTGTTGATATTGCTGACCAATTGTGATTCACTTTCGTGTTCCCCTAGTACTTCGTCCAAACTGGTTTTTGAACATATGTCTTTAGTGAATCTTGTATGATACTTGGTTTAATTGAGGAAAAATAAAAGGTAAGTGTGGGGAATTTTAATGCATGCTTAATTATACATGCTTTGCCCCTTATCTCTTGATCGTTTTCTAACCATTTATCATGAAAATGCCCTATCATTTGGCAGTTTTATGCTAGGGTGTGTTGTTTTGTCATATTATTCCCAGAGTGAGTTGAGAAATTGGGATTGAGTTTCGTGATATTTGGAAGTAATAAAAGAGAAAAAGAAGGCCCACAATGATTTTCACGGCTATGGGTATGAAAATTAAGGGCGTTACAATCAAATCCTAGCTTGTTCAAGCATTCTAGAAATTCTGCCCCAAAACACGGGTTGACAAGACAAAAGCACGCGGGTTCCTTTTTGGGGCATTTTTTGGAAAAGATCATGGGCTAGCAAGGCAAAAGCACGGGGGTTATTTTTTCCAGTGTTTTTTTCCTCCTAAAGACCATAAATGAGGTGGTACGTTTTGATGATGCATGAGGGGAAACCTAAAAACAACGATCGTGATTTATGGTCGTGCTTTTGCCATTATAGGGTATTATAGAGATTTTATGCGAGTTCTGAATGGGAGAGCTGGGTTATTGGATTCCAAACACCCAAGGGAAAAATCCTAGGGAAAAAACGACTTAGGAACAATTTTGGAGTGTTTGTTTGATTTGATGATTGCATGCATACTCTTACTAGTTAAACTCGAGTTCATATTCAACATATGCATGTTTTGGTTCAATTCTCCTTTTATCGAGATTATTGATCCTACCTTGATATAGGAGAGGGAATACCTTATTAATTCAATATAATACCATAGATTGGAAGTAGGGGATCGGTTATGCGAGAGAGAGTCGATTCATTGCTTTGTATTGGGTGAGACACTTACCCAGTAGAGGGAGTCTAAATCTGAATTCACTTGATATTCTATCTTAGTTGAGGATAGTGCCAACTAAGTAGTATATCAAAGAGGGTGTTGTCTCCTTTAATTTAATCGAGATTGAAGGCTTGTTAAATACTTTTTGCATTATGAATGAAGAGTGAAACAAGTTGGAGAATCATCAATCATTAATCTGGATAGTGGCTTGGGGGAATTACACCTAAGTGATTTCTTAAATTGTAACTAGTTAGTTTAACCTTTTATGTAGCTTGTTAGAGTAGTTGTAGGCGTTGAATCTGAACTTCTAATTTGCTCAATAATAAAGTGAAGATAAGTAATAGTACATCTAGAAACCCGTTGTTTCAATATTTTATTACTGGTGACACAATACTACAATCATATCATTGGTTCGCTTGGCCTTTGTTATAAGTGTAGTTAGTAACGACCATTTGGCATCGACCTAGCGGGTTCTAAAAGAGGATTGGCAACTACCTGACCAGGAAGAAGTATTCCTTAAGTCGGTGACACGCCTCTACTGTCACACTAGAAAGTGGCCAAGTGTAACCATCTACCAATGCGTAGTATAGCGGGTTTAGTTATAAATGTCAACCCGTGTCCTAGGTCTGATGACTACTCCGTGAAAATCTTATTATTTAGCGGTTCAAGTTTAGTGAAGGTCTAACTAAACTAGCAAGCAAAAACAGTGAAAGTTGTGTTCAAAGTTGAGAGAGGTCACCCAGATATGGTTCCCTCTAGACTGCAGTTAAGCCAGGTTGTAATTCACCAAGTTGAAG